CACTACATACACACTACACATACACACCACACACACACACTACACATACACCCCACACACACACTACACACACACACACTACACACACACACTACACACTACGTACACACACTACACTACATACACACTACACATACACACCACACACACTACACACTACACACACACACTACACACACACACTACACACACTACGTACACACACTACACTACACGCACTACACACTACACACACACACTACGTACACTACACACACTACACACACACACTACACACACTACACACACACACTACACACACTACACACACACACTACGTACACACTACACACTCTACACACACACTACGTACACACACACTACACACACTACACACACACACTACACACACTACACACACACCACACACACTACACACACACTACGTACACACACACTACACACACTACACACACACACTACACACACTACACACACACCACACACACTACACACACACTACGTACACACACTACACACACACACTACACACACTACACACACACACTACGTACACACTACACACTCTACACACACTACACACACTACACACACACTACACACACACTACACACACACACTACACACACTACACACACACACTACACACACTACACACACACACTACACACACACCACACACACTACGTACACACACTACACACACACACTACACACACACACTACGTACACACACGTACACACTACACACACACACTACACTACACACACACTACACTACACACACACTACGTACACACACTACGTACACACACTACACACACACACTACACACACACACTACACACACTACACACACACTACATACTACATACACACTACACACACTGCACACACACTACGTACACACACCACACACACTACGTACACACACCACACACACACACTACACACACACACTACATACACACTACACACACTACACACACACTACACACACTACACACACTACGTACACACACTACACTACACGCACTACACACTATACACACACGCACCACACACTACACATACACACTACACACACTACACACACACACTACGTACACACTACACACACTACACACACACTACACATACACACCACACACACACACTACACACACCACACACACACACTACACACATACACTACATACACACACACACTACGTACACACACCACGTACACACTACACACTACATACACACCACACACACACTACACACACACACACTACACACACACACTACACACACACACTGCACACGCGTACACACTACACACACACACACACTACGTACACACACTACACTACATACACACTACACATACACACCACACACACACACTACACATACACCCCACACACACACTACACACACACACACTACACACACACACTACACACTACGTACACACACTACACTACATACACACTACACATACACACCACACACACTACACACACACACTACACACACACACTACACACACTACGTACACACACTACACTACACGCACTACACACTACACACACACACTACGTACACTACACACACTACACACACACACTACACACACTACACACACACACTACACACACTACACACACACACTACGTACACACTACACACTCTACACACACACTACGTACACACACACTACACACACTACACACACACACTACACACACTACACACACACCACACACACTACACACACACTACGTACACACACTACACACACTACACACACACACTACACACACTACACACACACCACACACACTACACACACACTACACACACACACTACACACACACACTACACACACTACACACACACACTACGTACACACTACACACTCTACACACACTACACACACTACACACACACTACACACACACTACACACACTACACACACACACTACACACACTACACACACACACTACACACACACCACACACACTACGTACACACACTACACACACACACTACACACACACACTACGTACACACACGTACACACTACACACACACACTACACTACACACACACTACACTACACACACACTACGTACACACACTATCCACACACACTACGTACACACACTACACACACACACTACACACACTACACACACACTACATACTACATACACACTACACACACTGCACACACACTACGTACACACACTACACACACTACGTATACACACCACACACACACACTACACACACACACTACACACACACACTACACACACTACACACACTACGTACACACACTACACTACACGCACTACACACTATACACACACGCACCACACACTACACACACTACACACACACACTACGTACACACTACACACACTACACACACACACTACGTACACACACTACACCACACACACACACTACACACACTACACACACACACTACACACACTACACACACACACTACACACACACTATGTACACACACACTACACACACATTACACACACACACTACACACACTACACACACACACTACATCGTCAACATCAACATCATCAACATCGTCAACATCGTCTTCGTCATCATCGTCATCATCGTCATCATCAACATCATCAACGTCATCATCAACATCATCTTCGTCATCATCGTCATCATCAACATCGTCTTCGTCATCATCGTCAAGATCGTCTTCGTCGTCATCATCGTTATCATCGTTATCATCGTCAACATCGTGAACAACATCGTCATCATCGTTGTCATCGTCATCAATATCATCGTCAACATCATGGTCATCATCATCATCATCGTCTTCAACATCATAATCGACGTCGTTTTCGCAGTCACTATCAACTCCACCAGCGCCATCATTATCATCATTAATACGATCATAATCATAATGATCAGAGTCGTCATCGTCACCACCATCATCATCCTCGTCATTGTCAGTGTTGTCATCATCACCAATGTCGTCATGAACACTGTCGTCTTGTGATGATGTTGATGTCTTGTCAGTGTCTTCGTCATCGTTATCATGATTACCATCACGTACTTATATTCGCCTTATCTCCATCACTGTCTCATCATCATCATCACCACATAATCACCATCCTACCCTCTCTCCTCTACCTGTCGCCACGGTGGCTAGGAGATGTTAACTACCTCGTCTGGTATGCAGGAGGTCGTGGGTTCGATCCCGACCCTGACGCCTGCTGCTGTATATTTGGAGTTTGCGTGTCTCTCTCTCTCATCATGATCACGGTGGCTAGATGTTAACTACCTCGCCTGGTCTATAGGAGGTCGTGGGTTCGATCCCGGCCCTGACGCCTGCTGCTGTATATTTGGAGTTTGGGTGTCTCTCTCTCCTTGTGGTTGCACGGATTTTTCTCTGGGTCCTCCGGGTTTTCCCTCCACATTTACAGTGAGGGAAAAAAGTATTTGATCCCCTGCTGATTTTGTACGTTTGCCCACTGACAAAGAAATTATCAGTCTATAATTTTAATGGTAGGTTTGTTTGAACAGTGAGAGACAGAATAACAACAACAACAAATCCAGAAGAACGCATGTCAAAAATGTTATAAATTGATTTGTATTTTAATGAGGGAAATAAGTATTTGACCCCTCTGCAAAACATGACTTAGTACTTGGTGGCAAAACCCTTGTTGGCAATCACAGAGGTCAGACGTTTCTTGTAGTTGGCCACCAGGTTTGCACACATCTCAGGAGGGATTTTGTCCCACTCCTCTTTGCAGATCTTCTCCAAGTCATTAAGGTTTCGAGGCTGACGTTTGGCAACTCGAACCTTCAGCTCCCTCCACAGATTTTCTATGGGATTAAGGTCTGGAGACTGGCTAGGCCACTCCAGGACCTTAATGTGCTTCTTCTTGAGCCACTCCTTTGTTGCCTTGGCCATGTGTTTTGGGTCATTGTCATGCTGGCTGAGGGAAGGAGGTTCTCACCCAAGATTTGACGGTACATGGCCTCGTCGATCGTCCTTTTGATGCGGTGAAGTTGTCCTGACCCCTTAGCAGAAAAACACCCCCAAAGCATAATGTTTCCACCTCCATGTTTGACGGTGGGGATGGTGTTCTTGGGGTCATAGGCAGCATTCCTCCTCCAAACACGGCGAGTTGAGTTGATGCCAAAGAGCTCCATTTTGGTCTCATCTGACCACAACACTTTCACCCAGTTGTCCTCTGAATCATTCAGATGTTCATTGGCACACTTCAGACGGGCATGTATATGTGCTTTCTTGAGCAGGGGGACCTTGCGAGCGCTGCAGGATTTCAGTCCTTCACGGCGTAGTGTGTTACCAATTGTTTTCTTGGTGACTATGGTCCCAGCTGCCTTGAGATCATTGACAAGATCCTCCCGTGTAGTTCTGGGCTGATTCCTTACCGTTCTCATGATCATTGCAACTCCACGAGGTGAGATCTTGCATGGAGCCCCAGGCCGAGGGAGATTGACCGTTTTTTTGTGTTTCTTCCATTTGCGAATAATCGCACCAACTGTTGTCACCTTCTCACCAAGCTGCTTGGCAATGGTCTTGTAGCCCATTCCAGCCTTATCTAGGTCTACAATCTTGTCCCTGACATCCTTGGAGAGCTCTTTGGTTTTGGCCATGGTGGAGAGTTTGGAATCTTATTGATTTCTTCTGTGGACAGGTGTCTTTTATACAGGTAACAAGCTGAGATTAGGAGCACTCCCTTTAAGAGTGTGCTCCTAATCTCAGCTCGTTACCTGTATAAAAGACACCTGGGAGCCAGAAAACTTTATGATTGAGAGGGGGTCAAATACTTTTTTCCCTCATTAAAATGCAAATTAATTTATAACATTTTTGACATGCGTTTTTCTGCATTTTTTTTGTTGTTATTCTGTCTCTCACTGTTCAAATAAACCTACCATTAAAATTATAGACTGATTATTTCTTTGTCAGTGGGCAAACGTACAAAATCAGCAGGGGATCAAATACTTTTTTTCCCTCACTGTACAATCAACATCACCACGCGTTTGGGGTGTTTGGCGACTGCAGTAAGTGTCCACGTGATGAGCCACTTCGTTGGGCTACCATTTGTGTTGGCCAGGTCGCTTCTGAAAGAGAGATACACAGCTCAGTGGGGTCCTTACCTGGTAAGATTTAATTTTAAAAAAAGTTTCGTTTGTGTAGTTTAGTTTCTCTTAGACTCAAAATCCTCCTAAACGCATCACCATAATCACGATCACTGGTATCATTTATCCCACACAGGCCACCGTTCCTGGCTCCACACTTAGAGAGGAACCATCTCCAGCTCAGCTGTCTGCCCTCAGGGAACAGCTGAGCCGGCTGGAGGGCGCCCTGGGGGCAGGGCCACCCGGGGAGGGAACGACCCCGGCAGGGGGCAACGCGAGGTACACAGCACCTACACCACTACCACACCTGTGCCTACACCTGTACACAGCACCTACACCACTACCACCCCTGTGCCTACACCTGTGACTACACCTGTACACCACTACTACACCTGTGCCTACACCTGTACACAGCACCTACACCACTACCACCCCTGTGCCTACACCTGTACACAGCACCTACACCACTACCACCCCTGTGCCTACACCTGTACACACCTACACCACTACCACACCTGTGCCTACACCTGTACACACCTACACCACTACCACACCTGTGCCTACACCTGTACACAGCACCTACACCACTACTACACCTGTGCCTACACCTGTACACACCACCTACACCACTACCACACCTGTGCCTACACCTGTACACACCTACACCACTACCACACCTGTGCCTACACCTGTACACACCTACACCACTACTACACCTGTGCCTACACCTGTACACACCTACACCACTACCACACCTGTGCCTACACCTGTACACAGCACCTACACCACTACCACACCTGTGCCTACACCTGTACACAGCACCTACACCACTACCACACCTGTGCCTACACCTGTACACAGCAACTACACCACTACCACACCTGTGCCTACACCTGTACACAGCAACTACACCACTACCACACCTGTCCCTACACCTGTACACAGCAACTACACCACTACCACACCTGTGCCTACACCTGTACACCACTACCACACCTGTGCCTACACCTGTACACCACTACCACACCTGTACCTACACCTGTACACCACTACCACACCTGTACCTACACCTATACACCACCACCACTACTACACCTGTGCCTACACCTGTACACAGCACCTGCACCACTACCACACCTGTACCTACACCTGTACACACCACCTGCACCACTACCACACCTGTACCTACACCTGTACACACCACCTGCACCACTAGCACACCTGTGCCTACACCTGTACACACCACCACCACTACCACACCTGTGTCTACAGCTGTACACCCCACTACCACACCTGTGCCTACACCTGTACACACCACCTGCACCACCACCACAACCACACCTGAGTGGCTAACACCACCACCATGACCAGCATCACCGCCACCAACGTCAAAGATCCCCCGTGCAGCGTTAACAGACTGTAGGGGCAAGTGCTGTTAGCGAGCACCTATGAAGGCCGGAACGGTACACGAGGGGGTGGGTGGCCAGCACCACGCCCGACCGCCTTTGTCTCCCCGGTGGCAATGTTTACACAACGCACCAGATACTTATTTGAGACTCCACACACACTCCACACACACGTACACACGTACACACACACGTACACACACGCATACACTATACACACTCCACACACACTACACACACGTACACACTACATTCACACACACGTACACTACACACACACTACGTACACACGTACATACACACTACATACACACACTACACACACACGTACACACTACACACGCACACTACATACACACTACACACACACTACACATTACGTACACACACACACTACACTACACACACACGTACACACTACACACACTATACACACCTACACACACTACACACACACACAATACACCCTACATACACACACGTACACACTACACACACTACACACACTACACACACACACTACACACACACTACACACACTACACACACACACTACACACACTACACACACTACGTGCACACACTGCACACACACTACACACACACACTACACACACTACACACACTACGTACACACACTACACACACGCTACACACACACTACACACACTACACACACTACGTACACACACTACACACTACATACACATACACACCACACATATACACACACACACTACACACTACGTACACACGCGTACACACTACATACACACTACACACACACACTACACATACACACCACACACACACACTACACATACACACCACACACACACACTACACACACCACACACACACACTACACACATACACTACATACACACACACACTACGTACACACACCACGTACACACTACACACTACATACACACCACACACACACACTACACACACACACACTACACACACACACTACACACACACACTGCACACGCGTACACACTACACACACACACACACTACGTACACACACTACACTACATACACACTACACATACACACCACACACACACACTACACATACACCCCACACACACACTACACACACACACACTACACACACACACTACACACTACGTACACACACTACACTACATACACACTACACATACACACCACACACACTACACACTACACACACACACTACACACACACACTACACACACTACGTACACACACTACACTACACGCACTACACACTACACACACACACTACGTACACTACACACACTACACACACACACTACACACACTACACACACACACTACACACACTACACACACACACTACGTACACACTACACACTCTACACACACACTACGTACACACACACTACACACACTACACACACACACTACACACACTACACACACACCACACACACTACACACACACTACGTACACACACACTACACACACTACACACACACACTACACACACTACACACACACCACACACACTACACACACACTACGTACACACACTACACACACACACTACACACACTACACACACACACTACGTACACACTACACACTCTACACACACTACACACACTACACACACACTACACACACACTACACACACACACTACACACACTACACACACACACTACACACACTACACACACACACTACACACACACCACACACACTACGTACACACACTACACACACACACTACACACACACACTACGTACACACACGTACACACTACACACACACACTACACTACACACACACTACACTACACACACACTACGTACACACACTACGTACACACACTACACACACACACTACACACACACACTACACACACTACACACACACTACATACTACATACACACTACACACACTGCACACACACTACGTACACACACCACACACACTACGTACACACACCACACACACACACTACACACACACACTACATACACACTACACACACTACACACACACTACACACACTACACACACTACGTACACACACTACACTACACGCACTACACACTATACACACACGCACCACACACTACACATACACACTACACACACTACACACACACACTACGTACACACTACACACACTACACACACACTACACATACACACCACACACACACACTACACACACCACACACACACACTACACACATACACTACATACACACACACACTACGTACACACACCACGTACACACTACACACTACATACACACCACACACACACTACACACACACACACTACACACACACACTACACACACACACTGCACACGCGTACACACTACACACACACACACACTACGTACACACACTACACTACATACACACTACACATACACACCACACACACACACTACACATACACCCCACACACACACTACACACACACACACTACACACACACACTACACACTACGTACACACACTACACTACATACACACTACACATACACACCACACACACTACACACACACACTACACACACACACTACACACACTACGTACACACACTACACTACACGCACTACACACTACACACACACACTACGTACACTACACACACTACACACACACACTACACACACTACACACACACACTACACACACTACACACACACACTACGTACACACTACACACTCTACACACACACTACGTACACACACACTACACACACTACACACACACACTACACACACTACACACACACCACACACACTACACACACACTACGTACACACACTACACACACTACACACACACACTACACACACTACACACACACCACACACACTACACACACACTACACACACACACTACACACACACACTACACACACTACACACACACACTACGTACACACTACACACTCTACACACACTACACACACTACACACACACTACACACACACTACACACACTACACACACACACTACACACACTACACACACACACTACACACACACCACACACACTACGTACACACACTACACACACACACTACACACACACACTACGTACACACACGTACACACTACACACACACACTACACTACACACACACTACACTACACACACACTACGTACACACACTATCCACACACACTACGTACACACACTACACACACACACTACACACACTACACACACACTACATACTACATACACACTACACACACTGCACACACACTACGTACACACACTACACACACTACGTATACACACCACACACACACACTACACACACACACTACACACACACACTACACACACTACACACACTACGTACACACACTACACTACACGCACTACACACTATACACACACGCACCACACACTACACACACTACACACACACACTACGTACACACTACACACACTACACACACACACTACGTACACACACTACACCACACACACACACTACACACACTACACACACACACTACACACACTACACACACACACTACACACACACTATGTACACACACACTACACACACATTACACACACACACTACACACACTACACACACACACTACGTACACTACGTACACTACACACACTACACTACGCACACACTACACACACACTACACACACACACTACGTACACACACTACGTACACACACTACACACACTAAACACTACACACACTAAACACTACACACACTAAACACTACACACACTAAACACTACACACACACTACACACACACTACACTACACACTACACTACACACACACTACACACACACACTACACACGCAGACGCCTTCGCGCCCAGCTGACGGCCCTGGCGACGCAACCCCCCGAGGTGCGAGTGCCCCAGGCGGTGCCTGGGGCCGACGGGGGCCGGAGTGGCGACCGATACCAGCACCAGAACCAGCACCAGTACCAGCTCCAGCACCAGTACCAGAACCAGCACCAGAACCAGCACCAGAACCAGCACCAGTACCGCCTCTACCAGCACGCCTCGCAGCACGGGCAGCGGGTGAGGCGGCCACGCTGGGGCTACGCCTCGCGTGGCCTCACAGCGTGAAGGGCCTCACTTCGATATCCCGACTTGGGCGCCTTGGTTCGAGTGGAGTTTGTGTGTTCCCTCAGCCTGTTCTGCAGGGAGACGGAGTGTGTGGGTGTGTGCGCTCCGCTGGGTCATGTAGCCCGCATGCCCAGCCACCGCATGCCGAAACAGCTTTTGTTCGGCCGGATCGAGGGGGCTAAACGGGCACGGCACGGGCTAGAGAAGAGATGGAGTGAGGTGGTACAGGAGGACGTGGAGCTGAGTGGACTTGCTGATGACCGGTATCAGCGGTGTCAAGATCAGCCTCTGTGGAGGAGGCTCGTGAAGGACGCTGCTACTGGGCAGTTGGAGGCAGTCGCCCTCCAACAACAACGGAGGGCGGAGGAGCGACGCTCACAACAACGAGCGGAGCGCCGGGTGGCTAAAGCACAGCAAGTTGGCACAGTAGGGGGCACAGGTGGTGCATCAGCCAGTCATCTCAATCATCTCAGTCAGTCGACCCGTGGCACCTGGGTCTGCCCCGTGACCTCCTGTCAGCGGGCGTTTGACACTTCACGTGGCCTCAAGGTGCACCTAGCCTGGCACAAGCGCCGTGGTGACGTCACCGCCACTTAGTGGCGAGTAGCGGCTGTTGTTGCTCAGCTGACTGCGGAGTTGGTAGCGTAGCGCTACGAACCCGGCCACCAGAGAGTTTGATTCCCGCTCACGGCCACTAACACCAGTGACGATTATCTCTGTATCAGTCCTGGGCCTCCCCTAGGTCGACTCAGCCTCAAGTGAGTACCTGGTGCGATGTGTAAACATCGCCAAAAGGAAGACAAAGACAGCCGAGTGTGGTGCTGGCCACCCACCCCCTCGTGTGCTGTGCAAGCCTTCATAGATGCTCGCTGACAGCGCTTACCCCAACAGTCATACGGGAGACATGTCTTGTGTTTGAGTGTGAGTGCAGTTCTATATGGGACGAGATGATGGTTCTGTATGGGACGAGACAAAGTTTCTATATGGGACGAGATGAAGGTTCTGTATAGGATGTGGGTTTTGTATGAACGTTCTGTATGGGATGAGGGTTCTGTATGGGATGAAGGTTCTGTATTGGATGTGGGTTTTGTACGAGATGAGCGTGTTCTGTATAGGTTGAGGGTTTTGTATGGGATAAGGGTTCTATATGTGATGAGGGTTCTGTATGGGATGAAGGTTCTGTATGGGATGAGGGTTCTGTATGGGATGAGGGTTCTGTATGGGATGCTCTGTGTCGTGTGTAGTTGGAGATTCTGGAGAAGAGGCTGGGAGATCTCGAAACGATGATGGGAATCTTTCCCGACGGCAACCTGCAGAAGTTGGCGAGTGATGCCATCACCACCACAAGCGCCACCACAAGCGCCATCGCCACCACAAGCGCCATCACCACCACAAGCGCCATCACAAGCGCCATCACCACCACAAGCGCCATCACCACCACAAGCGCCATCACCACCACAAGCGCCACCACAAGCGCCACCACAAGCGCCATCGCCACCACAAGCGCCGTCGCAACCACAAGCGCCGTCGCAACCACAAGCGCCATCACAAGCGCCATCGCAAGCGCCATCGCCACCACAAGCACCATCGCCACCACAACCGCCAACACTCTTTATCTGATATTCGCCATCACTGCCACCATCACGACAGTCAATACCGCTAACTTCCGCCAACATCACTTGAACATTAACCACCACTACGAAATGAATCACCACTGCTACTACCGCCATGTACCCCTAATACTGTCCACTTTCACCAACACCATCATGAACAACCATTTACACCACCACCACCATCAACCATTATCACAACATCCCGCCTTCATTTGCTATCAACTCCACCATCATTGACGCGTCCACCGTCACAACACTTTGGCGATGTGAAGTGTTGGATCGTGGGAGACCTGTGAGATGCTGACCGCTCTGAAACTCTGTTGTGTGATTTAGAACGCCCTGCTGGCCAATCTCCAGAGGAGCAACATTCTGGTAGGTGAGGCAGACTGGGCCCTGTAATGGGAATGTGGAATATCCACCACGGGCTCAGGGCCGCCAACAAGAATACACACCTGCCCATGCACGTTTTGAGCAAATTTCAGTGATGACATCTGATACAAGGCCTGACAAGCGGTGGAGTGGTTAGGGCTGGTAGACCAAGACCAGGGTGAGTAGTGGCAGTGATGGCAGTAGACCAGGGGCAGAATAAGTAGTGGCAGTAGACCAGGAGCAGAATAAGTAGTGGCAGTGATGGCAGTAGACCAGGAGCAGAATAAGTAGTGGCAGTGATGGCAGTAGACCAGGAGCAGAATAAGTAGTGGCAGTGATGCCAGTAGACCAGGAGCAGAATAAGTAGTGGCAGTGATGGCAGTAGTCCAGGGGCAGAATAAGTAGTGGCAGTGATGGCAGTAGACCAGGGGCAGAATAAGTAGTGGCAGTGATGGCAGTAGTCCAGGAGCAGAATAAGTAGTGGCAGTGATGGCAGTAGTCCAGGAGCAGAATAAGTAGTGGCAGTGATGGCAGTAGACCAGGAGCAGAATAAGTAGTGGCAGTGATGGCAGTAGTCCAGGGGCAGAATAAGTAGTGGCAGTGATGGCAGTAGACCAGGGGCAGAATAAGTAGTGGCAGTGATGGCAGTAGTCCAGGAGCAGAATAAGTAGTGGCAGTGATGGCAGTAGTCCAGGAGCAGAATAAGTAGTGGCAGTGATGGCAGTAGACCAGGAGCAGAATAAGTAGTGGCAGTGATGGCAGTAGACCAAGACCAGGGTGAGTAGTGGCAGTGATGGCAGTAGACCAGGAGCAGAATAAGTAGTGGCAGTGATGGCAGTAGACCAGGAGCAGAATAAGTAGTGACAGTGATGGCAGTAGTCCAGGAGCAGAATAAGTAGTGGCAGTGATGGCAGTAGACCAGGAGCAGAATAAGTAGTGGCAGTGATGGCAGTAGACCAAGACCAGGGTGAGTAGTGGCAGTGATGGCAGTAGACCAGGAGCAGAATAAGTAGTGGCAGTGATGGCAGTAGTCCAGGGGCAGAATAAGTAGTGGCAGTGATGGCAGTAGACCAGGGGCAGAATAAGTAGTGGCAGTGATGGCAGTAGTCCAGGAGCAGAATAAGTAGTGGCAGTGATGGCAGTAGTCCAGGAGCAGAATAAGTAGTGGCAGTGATGGCAGTAGACCAGGAGCAGAATAAGTAGTGGCAGTGATGGCAGTAGACCAAGACCAGGGTGAGTAGTGGCAGTGATGGCAGTAGACCAGGAGCAGAATAAGTAGTGGCAGTGATGGCAGTAGACCAGGAGCAGAATAAGTAGTGACAGTGATGGCAGTAGTCCAGGAGCAGAATAAGTAGTGGCAGTGATGCCAGTAGACCAGGAGCAGAATAAGTAGTGACAGTGATGCCAGTAGACCAGGAGCAGAATAAGTAGTGGCAGTGATGGCAGTAGACCAGGGGCAGAATAAGTAGTGGCAGTGATGGCAGTAGTCCAGGAACAGAATAAGTAGTGGCAGTGATGGCAGTAGACCAGGAGCAGAATTAGTGGCAGTGATGGCAGTAGACCAGGAGCAGAATAAGTAGTGGCAGTGATGGCAGTAGACCAGGAGCAGAATAAGTAGTGGCAGTGATGGCAGTAGACCAGGAGCAGAATAAGTAGTGGCAGTGATGGCAGTAGACCAGGAGCAGAATAAGTAGTGGCAGTGATGGCAGTATACCAGGGGCAGAATAAGTAGTGGCAGTGATGGCAGTAGTCCAGGAGCAGAATAAGTAGTGGCAGTGATTCCACGTGAACCAGGAGCAGAATAAGTAGTGGCAGTGATGCCAGTAGACCAGGAGCAGAATAAGTAGTGGCAGTGATGGTAGTATACCAGGGGCAGAATAAGTAGTGGCAGTGATGGCAGTAGTCCAGGAGCAGAATAAGTAGTGGCAGTGATGGCAGTAGTCCAGGAGCAGAATAAGTAATGGCAGTGATGGCAGTAGACCAGGAGCAGAATAAGTAGTGGCAGTGATGGCAGTAGACCAAGACCAGGGTGAGTAGTGGCAGTGATGGCAGTAGACCAGGAGCAGAATAAGTAGTGGCAGTGAAGGCAGTAGTCCAGGAGCAGAATAAGTAGTGGCAGTGATGCCAGTAGACCAGGAGCAGAATAAGTAGTGACAGTGATGTGAGTAGGCGCTGTGTGTGTGCAGGGGGCTGTGGAGGTGTTGCAGTGCAGGATCGGATTGCTGCAGACATCGACACTGGACCACGTGGAGTTTCAGCTCCAGGTGAGTGCACAGACAAAGATCCCCCATAGAGCCTTAACAGATTGTTGGGGCAAATTCTGTTAGTAAGCACCGCACATACATACACACACAAACAACAGCCGCCATTCGCCACCGGTGATGTCACGACGGCGCTTGTGCCAGGCTACGTGCACTCCAAGGCCACGTGAAGTGTCGAAGGCTTGCTGACGGCAGGTCACGAGACAGACCCAGGCGCCACGAGCTCGACCGAGATGAGTGGCAGAGGCAACAACTGTGCCCTCCACTGTACCAACTCGTTGCATTTTATCCGCACGCTGTTGCGAGCGTCGCTCGTCTGCCCTCTGCGCTGTTTTTTGGGAGGGCGACTGCCTCCCCAACTGCCCCCGGTCGCGTCCTTCACGAGCCTCCTCCACACACGTACTTTCCCCCCGCTGCGCTGCGTTTCCCCGTGTCGCCCAAGGGTCTCCTGGTCAAGATGAGTGAGCTAGACACGTTCCGCTCGGCTCTCGATGAACCCAGCGTCACAGGCGAGGTGAGCCTCAGGGCGGACTGGGGGGAGGTGGGGGAGGGGGAGAGTGACTGACAGGGTTCCTCTATGACCACAGATACGAGAACGAGATTGATTACAATTGATTGTGATGCTCAAGATACATGCGCACGTGTGGCGAGTGAATTGTTTCTGTTGTATGCAGTCGGCTGCCCGTGACCCCCTACGGGGGGGCTCTGTAATTCACGAGGCACTGCAAAAAAAGAATTTAACCTCAAAGACAAAACCACACTGCATATTCCCCGCAACGAGCGTTCAGGATTTCTCGGTGCGCCGCGGATTTGGGGAGGAATTGTATTTGTTATTTATCCGAGACTTGCTCGTAAACTACAGCAGCGCGGCCCGTGTCTTTCAACTCAGACGAGGGGGGGAGAGTTTCGTGATTTAATGTCAAACCCAAATGAGGAATTGGTTTAATTAATTAATTGCGGAACCCCTTGAAGCGGGGGGGGGGGGTGACCAACTTGTGACAGGCCCAAGAGGTCAAAGCGTGCCCATGAGTTGTGAACACAGCCATGTGTGTATAATTTTATATATATACACACACACAGGCTGCTTCAAATAAACGTGGACACTTCCGAGGTTTTGCAACGACGCCACAAGAAACGCGCCGCCTCCGGACTCTGAAGATCACCTGGAAAAGATTCCAAGCGTAGCGTTGACGAAAAGTCCCATGCAAGCGTCAACATCTTTTTGAAGCCCACTGTATGAGTATGCAGCGTGCTTAAAAAAACGTTAACACTTATATGGGACTATCGCTTTTAATGTAAGAATAACGAATATTGCACGGTTAACATGATAGCAAATGTGGATGTTAATCGCTTCAAAAAGTCTCCACTTGTTCGCCATCGTCGTCAACGCGCGCCTGGAATCTTTTCCAGGTGGTTTCCAGAGCCCGGAGCTCACAACAATTATTGCGGCGTTGTTGCAAATTATCTGAAGCGTCAGCATCTTTTTTTTTAAGCGCCCTGCGCGTTTGACAGTTTTCGGCACAGCACGGGAGACATTCATTATTCTTTGCTAGCGTGGCAAGCGAGTTCGACGTTTATGCCCCTTGCACAGTGGCCGCGTGGAGCTCGGGAGACAAGTCGTCCACCGCTGCTCTGAACGCCGTTGTTGTTGTTGACTGAGTAGACCAGGGGTGGGGAAACGTCCGGCCCGCGGGTCGTATGAGGCCCGCGAAATCATTGGGTCTCTGGCCCTGCCAAGGCAACCGCAGACGGGACTCGAAATTCAATAAATCTAGGTGCAAAACCTGGAAAAGCAATTGCGAGTAGCAACAACATCGTCAATACCGGCTAACATCACCTCATGCCTCGCCAAAGAGAAGCAGTTCCAACCCATCACATTAGGGGCGAGTTAATGAAATGTTTGACCAAATATAACAGGCTAATTTTTAAGTTGATCATTTTGTATGGCCCGCGAATGATGTTATACAAATATCCAAATGGCCCTTGGCAGAAAAAAGGTTCCCCACCCCTGGAGTAGATGATGCGGGGTGGTGGTGGTGGGTGAGTGGTGGGTGGGTGAGTGGTGGGTGGGTGGTGGTGAGTGGTGGTGGGTGAGTGGTGGGTGGGTGGGTGTGCCTCCCATCAGTTGCTCCGCTATTTAAGAGCGCTGTGCGCGAGACCTGCCAGGTGGAGGCGCTGCGCGCGGTGCTGGAGAGGCTCGAGTGGGTGGTGCAGGCAGTGCCCGGCATCGTGCACAGGCTGGTGGTGCAAGCGTCGGAACACGACCACGGTGGGGACACAGACAAAGATCCCCCGTGTAGCCTGCGCAGACTTAGCGAGTAGCAGCACCTATGAAGGCCGGCACGGCGCACGAGGTGGGGGTGGGTGGCCAACACCACGCCCGGCCGCCTTTGTCTCCCGCCAGTGGAGATGTTTACCACACACCGCACCAGGTACTCATTTCGGGCTGATTCTACCTATGGGAGGCCCAGGACCGGTTCAGATAAACGTCACTGGTGTTGGTGGCCATGAGCGGGAATCGAATTCTGCCGAGTTCATAGCACAGCGTGCGAACCGCTCCACTAGACCACTCCCCACACACAACACAAAGATCCCCCGTATAGCCTAAAGACTATTGGGGCAAGGGCTTAGTGGCCGTGAGCCAGGTATCGAACTCGGGTCGCTGGATTCCACAGCGCAGTGCGCTAGCCACTCCACCATACGGCCACACACAAAAAAGACAAAGATCCCTCAGTAAATTATTAACAGACTGTTGGGGCAAGTGCTGTTAGCGAGTAGCACCTATGGAGGCCGGCACGGCATACGAGGGGGTGGGTGGCCAACACCACGCCCGGCAGCCTTTGTCTCCCCCAGTGGCGATGTGGTTTTACACACCGCACTAGGTACTCATTTGAGGCTGAGCCGACCTAGGGGAGGCCCAGGACCGGTTATGATAATCGTCACTGGGTGTTGGCCGTGAGCGGGAATCGAACTCGGATCGCCGGGTTCGTAGCGCTGACCGCTCCACACTCCATACGTTTCGAGGCAGATGGGATTGCTCATCTCACCGTCGGGGTGAGTTGTGGGGCTGTGGGCAGGACCTGGGGGTCACAGATTCTCGACCTCAATGTTGAAAATTTTCTTTCTCACCCCCCCCCACCACCACCGCCGCCTCCCTGGCCCCCATTCACTCTGCGCGTGCCCCCAGCGCTCCGCTTTGGGCAGCAGCTGCATGGCATGGAGGCAGCGCAGCAGAGCCGGGCTGGGACTCTCAGAGACAACGTGGCGCTGCTGCTTGAGGTGGCACCACGCGCGCGCGCGCGCGCGCGCGCGCGCGCGCACGCACGGCCACCAACAAACAACAAAACAAAGACACGCCCCCCCCCCCCGCCCCATAGCCTGAACAGACTGTTGGGGCAAGTGCTGTTAGCGAGCAGCACCTATGAAGGCCGGCAAGGCACACGAGGGGGTGGGTGGCCAGCACCACGCCCAGCCGCCTGTCTCCCTAGTGGCGTTTTTACGCACCGTACCATGTACTCACTTGAGGCTGAGTCGACCTAGGGAGCCCCGGGACCGGTTCAGATAATCGTCACTAATGTTGGCCGTGAGCGGGAATCGAACTCGGGTTGCCTGGTTCGTAGCACAGCGCGCTAAACACTACACTACCGCTCCCCTGACAACCAACACACACACACACCTGCTACACCCGCTGCTCCCGTGAGCCACACACAACACCCCACAACAGGCCCCGAACAACAACCGTCCTTGCCATACCCCCCCCCCGTTTCCGCCTCCAATATCATCCAAACAACACCCCCCATCAAAGCTCTCACACACATCCATGCCATCACAGCTCGTTGCCTTAACAGTCCGCCATAGCCATAACACCCCCGTCTCACAGCCCTAACAACAGCCTGTCATTTGCTCCCAGGCGAAGTCTAAGCCCAACGCCTAGAACTCACCACTATGCAGCTCCAATCTCATCACGCTGGCGCGAGCCGGACTGTCAGTCTTAGGTCTAACAGCGTCCGCTAACCACCACCAGTAAAGCCTCAACACTGTTGGGGCAAGTGCTGTTAGCGAGCACCTATGCAGGCTGGCACGGCGCACGAGGGGGCGTGGCCAGCACCACGCCCGGCCGCCTTTGTCTCCCTCGTGGCGATGTTTACACACTGCACCAGGTATTAATTTGAGGCCGAGTCGACCTAGGGGAGGCCCTGGACCGGTTCAGATACGACACTGGTGTCGACCCCGGAGCGCAGCGTGCCGATCGCTGTGCAGCCGCTCCCCACACCACCATTACCACCACCGTCACACCACGTCACACCACCGTCACACCACAGTTACACCACCGTCACACCACCGTCACACCACCGTCACACCACGTCACTCCTCTCGCCCACAGATGGAGCAGTCGCTCAAGGAGAACGTGGCCTCTGTGCAGACAAACTTCGCCAGTCTTGAGGCACGGGTGACGCAACTTGGCCAGTGAAGAAGAGGAGACAAGAGGAGGTGAAGGAGCCAAAGAAAGAAAAAGAGAAGTGGTGGCGGTGAAGTACGGATGAAGCGTGCAGCAGCAGAGCCGGTGACGAGAGGTGACGCTAGGCGACGCGGTAACCGCCCACTCCGGTTTTGCACTTCAATCCGTGTCCTCGTCTGCAGCCTTCAGAACGCATTCACGAAGCCCCCCCCCCCATCACCGCTCTCACACGACGGACTGCTCCCGTCTCGAGGAGGAGGAACGCGGTCGCGGGGTGTCCTCACGCCGTTCCAACAGCGGCGGCGCTTCGCCACCAGCACCACAAAACCACCACGGCGCGTTTGCAGCACCGCCGCCCCTCCTTCAAAATAAACCGAGTGGCAGTTCACCGCCCACCCACCACCCACCCACCCACCACCACCGTCTGTCTCACCCTCTGGTCACTCGCTCGCTCGGTGAACCCCTCCCTCAGTGCGACGCCACGTGGAGTCAAGACAGGTGGTGGTGGGTGGGTAGAGAGTCGTCTAAAACGCGTCCATACTTTTTTTTATTTTCCCTCGCCTGCCGTTTTATTGTAAATGTTAATTTTTTTGCATGAAACAATTCGGGGAACGTAACGCTTGGCAGGGGAGTGCCCCGAGTTTGCGGGACATTGAGACGGTGAGGGGGGGGGAGTGAGGGGTGGTGGGAATGAGCGGGAGGGGGGGGGGGTCTGTCCATCCATCCATCCGCGAGCCATACCATCTGCAAGCCACCGCGCGGGTTTTTCCCAAACAACCCAGGAGACGCACGTGCAGTAGGTCCGGCTGCGTGGGAGGGTTTACGGATCGCGCACAGATGGGAGCCGACCGACCACTCCGGCTCCACGAGGCGGTACGGCAAGCAGATCTGTGGCAGGCCCCGTGCGTGCGGGCGCAGCGTTTGAGGATTTTCCGTCCTCTGCAGTCCCTCCCAACGGAGATTATTTAAACGCTCGAATAAGATAACTGGCCGAAACATCCCATGCAGGACCCTCCTGAAGAAAAAAGGAGTGGCGCCGTCGGCGGCGCCTTCCCCACGCTAAATATTCCCAAACAACAACAACAACAGCAGCAAGGGTGCATCATTTGCAAACGGCGGGTGAACGGTGTGGGTTGTGTTTGGGGCTGCAGCAAGAGAAACAAAACCAAACTTGACGATGTTTCACTTTTGTTTAAGTCGCCACACGAAACGCCCTTTTGGAGAGAGATTTTGAAGAAAAAAAAAACCTGTCGCAATCAGTTTGTCGGGAGACGCAAGCAATTACTCCCCGACCCACGCCCTGAGCGACCAGTCGCGATAATTGGCCCGCATGCCAATGAACTCGCTCGCTCGCTCGGCGTAGCCACTTGGGAGCGACGAGGTACGACCCGACGACTCTCGTTATTAGCGCAACCGATCGCTCAGTCGTGACCCCCCGCCCCCACCCGAATTTACAGCGAGGACTGAGGGTGATGGGTAAAGAGGGGAGGGGGTAAAGGAACAGGGGGAGAGTTGAGGGAAGGGGGCAGAGAGAGATTGGCAGTGGGGTATGAGGTGGCTGGCATGGCTACTCGGGGGTCAGGGGTTAAAGAGGTACCCATGGATCAGCCGAGCTTAGCACCCGCAGTGTGTGTGCGTGTGTGAGGGAGGAGTGCGAGATGGCTATAGCCACACCCCGTACAAAATAGATCTCTCTTCTTTCACCCTAGGTTCGCATATACATATACAATCATATAATTCTATACATCTCTATACATTTGTGTGTGTGTTGTGTTGCAGCCTCTGCGCCATGATAAACCATTAAACATTTTGTAAGGCCCAAAATAACAATGTCAACAATAATAATAACAGAAGAAACTTTTTTTGAGAAACATTAGTTTTTTTTCTTCTTCTTGTTTTTGAATCCTTTTTTAACTTTACAATTTACAAGGAGCAGCGAAGAGACCTGCAGGACCCCCCCCCGCTCCCACCACCCCTTCTCGGGCGACGTCACTACAGCAAACCCATTATTAAAAGATACAAAAAGAACAAAAATAAAGGGAATAGAAATCTCGTAAACACGGTACAATAAATAGATAAACACCCCCCCCCCCACGAGAAACCAGCGGTGGCGATGGCGGCGATGAAGGGGGGTTGGCGGTGGGGAGCGAGGGGGGTAAAAAGCCGCGCTTGATTCGCCATCGAAATTCCCTGCTGCAGTCCCTCGCGCATCCCCCATCAGCCGATTCCCCCACCAAGTTGACCTCACAGACTCCCCCCCCCCCCCCCCCCCGTTAGTACCCTCCCCCAGCCTACGCCCCCCTCCTGCTCACACTTGGCTGTCTCAATCTCGCCCCCCCACTCTCCAAACCCAACGTGTTTCAAGTGCAAAGCATAACAGGCTGAGGTTTCCGAATTTCAAGTTACCAACGAACGGATGAATCGGTTTGTTTATATTTTCTACATTTATATATGTACACAATATTACAAAGGCGAGCGTTCCGGTGCGAAATCTGCGCGCGTCCGTACAGACGAGACGGACGAAGGTGCGGGTGGCAGAGGCCAGACCCGGCGCTCCCACGCAGCCCAGAAAAAATAAACCACGTCGCAGCGGAGCGTGGGGCAGGTGAATTTCCACTGAGCAAGAACCCAGAATCTGGAACCCGGGAACGCAGAAACCGGAATGGGAGCCATCTCCGGGAAGTCTTTCACAATCCGCAACAATAAGACTGTGGGCAAAATGTCACCCACCGAACCCAAACCAAACGACAACAAATTGAAATCAAAGTGGACCTGTCCAGGAGCAAAAAAAAAGGTTCAAACGAATATCAAATGCTGGATTCGAAGCAGTGCCCCTACTAAAGACTTTTATGTTAATTCCATCATCACGACCTCTGCTCCTCACGCGTCTTTAATGCCATCTCGGTCTGGTTCCAGATCTGGATTCGTCTCGGTGTGCAGAGTCCAATTCCAGTCGTGCGGTCCGGCTCAAGTGTGAGGGAGGGGGGTGGGGGGGGCGCGCCCCAGCCACGCTAAGCGATTCACAGGGCCGCCCCGATTGGCTGGAAATCCCGAGCGGCGGTCAGTGTGGCTTAGTGGTATTGTGGCGTTGACCAAGTCGCTAGGCCCGGTGGCCTGGGTGGCAGCGAGGCGGGCGAAGGAGGCGGGCGGGGCTGATGGCGCGGCAGTGCGCTGTAGTTGGCTGGTGTCCTCCCCCCACCCCCCACAACTCTGGGAGGTCGCAGGGTTGGTGGTGGGGGGGGTGAGGTGCGGCGACCCGGTCAGAGGTCACGTCACCTCCATGGGGGCAGGCTTGTCGGCGAGGCTGCTCAGGGAGCCGAGGTCGGCCTCGTGGCTCTCCCTACACAAAACACAAAGAAGATCCCCCGTGTAGTTTTAACAGACTGTTGGGGGCAAGTGCTGTTAGCGAGCAGCACCTATGCAGGCCGGCACCGTGGCACACGAGGGGGTGGGTGGCCAGCACCACGCCCGGCCGCCTTTGTCTCCCGAGTGGCGATGTTTACAATCCTGCACCAGGTACTCATTTGAGGCTGAGTCGACCTAAGGAAGGCCCTGGACCGGTTCAGATAAGTCACTGGTGTCGGCCATGAGCGGGAATCAAACTCAGGTCTCTGCCACGTCCGTAGCGCAGTGCGATAACCACTGTACTACCGCTCCCCACGCATGCACACACACACGCACGGACACACGCACAAGCGCACATATACCCCAAACAGCGCGCGGATGCACGCACACAGGCGCGTTGATGTGCTTGCACGAACACACGGACGTACACACGGCCGTCATCACAATTCTGCGCGCTCGTGACTTGAGGGGTGCGTTGGCGAGGTGAGCGATGGTGTAATGTTCTTTTGAGAGGGCGCAGAGGAGAGAGAGAGAGAGAGGTAAATGAAGGCGAGCGATGCAATTTAATTAAAGCAAAGATGAGTGAAGCTCTTTGTGACATGACGGGGGAGTGTTACAATTCGACAAACGAGCCAAAACAAAACGAACCCTTGCATGCCCAATTGTCACCGACGCAATAAAGGTGTTAAGACCAGTACGTGTGCAAGACCCAAATGTTACGTTCAGTACTTGCGTACAACAAGTACGTCCGTTCCGACCAGTACGTCGAGTGTAACCCAACCAACCGGTAACCGTCAGGACCAGTACACGTGTGCACGCACGTGAACGGCATGCCCGTACGGACGGTAGACACGCGCCCCTGTCGCTGCGCGAGCCGCTCACCGTGCCGCCATGGCGAGTTTCAGCGCCCCCGGCGACGGCGCCGGCGCCACAGCCAGCGCCCGAGGCGGCGGCGGCGCCGCGGCCGCCGCTCCGTGCGGAGGCCGCGGCGCCGCGTGCGCGTGCAGGGGAGCGCCGCCGCCGGGCAGCGGCGAGGAGCAGCCGGCTGGGCGCGAGCAGGGCGCCGGCGCCGACACGGGCACCGGCACGGGCGCCGGGCGGGCGTGGTGGGGCCGCGGCGCGTGCTGCGCCGGCACGGCTGCGAGAGGCCGGACGCCGGCGAGCTGCACCGTCGCCGTCCTCGCGTACACCGGTTGCGCCGCCGACGACACGACCGCCGCGGCCTTGCTTGCGATGTGAGCGATCGCCACGCTGCTGCCGACAGCGTGCGTTGCCATGGCAGCCCGCACTAGCGGCTGTGCTGGGACGCAGCTTCCTGTTTGAGCCATCGTGCCCGGTTGCTGCAGCAGTTGCTGCTGCTGCTGCTGCAACTGCTGCTGCAACTGATGCTGCTGTAACTGTTGCTGGTGCTGTAACTGCTGCTGCTGCTGCTGCTGAAGGTGTTGTAACTGCTGCTGCTGCTGCTGTAACTGCTGCTGGTGCTGCAGTGCAGCCACGGTCGTCGGCTGTTGTGGGATGGCGCCGCCCGCGCCGGCGAGGTGATGCTGGTGCATCGGGGCCACGTGCCGCATGGCCGCCAGTGCCGTGGGCTGTTGCGCCGATGGCCCTCCGCCGCCCAGCGCCACCGAGGCCCCAGGGCCCACCGGGACGCAGTTGGCGAGGCTGGCGGGGAGAGGCACCGTGCCCACCAAGGTGCCGGCGCGTGCGGGAGAGAGGGCGCTTGCAGACGCGCCGGTGACCGCGGCGGCGCCGCCCGAGGCTAGCGGCAGTGGGTCGGTGGGGCCCAGCAGCGCCGTGACGGCGAAGAGGGCGCCGGCTGAGTCCAGAGTGTTCCCCAAACGGGGGCCCTGAGAGGGGTGAGGTGAGCAGAGTGGGAGTTGAGTGGAGAAATTAATAGGGGGGGGGGGGGAGGAGAGATCAGAAGACAAGAGAGATAAGAATGGAGGTGAGAGAGGTGGGGGGGGAAGAGTGAGAGAGGAGTATGATATGAAGGGGGTGTGAGAGACAGATAAGGCAGCAGATGACGAGGTTAAAAAGGGATGCGAACACCAGGAGAAAAGAGAGGGATGGATGGGAGAGTAGAGAGCAGGGAGGACGAGGAGCAGACATGAGAGGCAGGGATGGCAGAGGACACGTGAGAAATTTACAAAGATCAATCACCATATGATAAGGATATACTACTGAACTCCTTTTATCCGTGGCTGTCGAGTCCTTTAAAAACGCCTGAAATCTGCGGGTCTACTCAGATTATCTGCGATTATCCACCATGCCGATTACTCGTAATCTTTCCATATGTAAGAGTCACACGCCAAATTACTAATTATCCTGAAAATTACTTGTTATCCGTGGGGTTATGGGAAATTTAATTAATTAATAAACCTATCCCGTGATCAAAGCAAGTGCAAGTTCGGCGCACTTATTTTGATGAGTCAACACAGACACGCACATAACCACGGAGACACAGAGAGACAAGAAGACACGACCACAGAGACACAGAGGGAGACGGAGACCGACACAAAGCCAAAGAGGCATACACTAATAATGGGGGAGACACACGTACAAAGACTGTCCGTTTAACCTTTTAACAGACTGTAGGAGCAAGTGCCGTTAGCGAGCACCTACGAAGGCCGGCACGGGACACTAGGGGGTGGGTGGCCAGCACCATGCCCGTCCGCCTTGAGACACACATACAGACACAAAGACACAGATATTGAGACAAAGATGTGTCGACAAAGACATGAAGATGCATACTAAGGAGACACAGAGACAGAATGAGACGCACACAATTTCTTTCACGGACAAGTAAATTTACCCAGCAGATTCATCCTAAATCCACGATATACCACGTGGATAAGAGTAAAATCGCAGACGATAAGATCCACAATATTGATCCTCCATATAACCGTGGATACCAGGATTTTGATCTATATATAAATGACTATCAACCTATATGCTAAACGTAACATTAAGGCTAAACTGGACATCTGCGAGCGGGAAGAAAAATCTACCTTTTTCTTCTAACAAAGCGGGAAGACTGAAGATGAGCCGCGCGATTGACAACGGCAAAACGGCGGCTGCGGTGATCAGCACCCCCCCAAATCCTCCTCCTCCTCCCCCCGTACCTGTTGCTGCTGGTGCAGTGAGTGAGCGGCGCTCTGCTCGCGCTGCATGTCCGCCACTTGCTGCTGGTGCCTCGCGTACTGCTCCTGCGTGAAGCCTGCGGCGGACAGGGGGCGGAGGGGGGGGGGGTTGGTGGTGGTGGTCGGCACGTCGGACGGTCACCGCATTTGGCCACGACAGGCCGACTCGCGCCTTCCACCGTTTGACAACAAATCCCCGGGGGCAGAACTTTGGACGCCCGTGATTGGGGCGGCTTTGTGGAGGAGGGGGGGGGATTGGTGGACATGGTTAAGAGATATATGTGACGTTAAACCCGCCACCACCCGACAGCCAATTGGTAAGGTTTGTCACGTAAACAAAAACACGCCAAAAACTAGGAACGATTTGGCATGTTTTGTTTACGTGACACTAAACCTTACTAATTGGCTGTGTCGGGTGGTGGTGGGTTTAACGACACATTTATATTTACGCACTCTAACTCAAAAACCTCTATTGTGGATAATAGTGGTCAGGAAAGCCTCCTACTACTACTACGTGTTAAACTCAGCGTTAAGAGATTTGTTCAAAACCGCAAACACGTGTCAGGTGGCAAGTTGACCAGCAGATGGCGGCACAGCAAGTTGGTTCGTTCGAGAAGCCATCAGTGATGATCTTATTTATTTCCAGAAAGGGTCAAACCTATTCTCTTATTTTTAATCCTCCTTGGGTCTTTCGGTAAAGTCACGGAGATAGAAAATGTATTTTTTTAAATCACGACGTTTCGATGGCAACACAAGCAATCGTCTTCAGGTGAATAAATACAGCAGGCGAACCTGCTGAGGCAGGAGAAATATTTATCGCCTGATGTGTTTGCACTCACGAAAGCTTTTAAGATTAAATTTTGCATCGTTTTGGATTCTAGCAAAAAGGTCCCATAGATATAACTGCTCGACCTCAGCTTTAAGTGTTCTGTTACTGGCATTGTCTTTGTACTGTTCGCTTTTTGGCGTTCTCTGTTCTGACACTGGTGAGACAAGGCCACAAAGAAGGCCGTCTCTGGTGTAAGCCAATCAGTTTCAAAAACAATGCATTTATCATTTCCTTTCTACGTGACTTTACCGAAAGAACCAGAGAAATTCCTGCAGTCACAAAGGCTTCAAATCAAGTTTATATCAAGTTTAATGCATATATTATCAGAGCATGTTTGTGTGCATGTTCTACCACAAGTACGTGTGATTGATGCAGTACTTGACGCCTTGCAAAAGGTATCTATTGGTGGTATTTGAACATCTAAACACCTCTTTAATTGCCAGAAAGGGTGACATCTACTCCATCATCTGATTACCCATTTTGTATGTGTATTGGGTTTGCTCCGGATTATCCGGCTTCCCCCACCATAAGGCGATATTTTCCTTAAACAGACCCCAAATGGTATCCATCTAACACTGTGTAATGGAAGTGCGCTCAGTCAATCCTGTCACTGCAAGGGCCTCCTCATACTTGGTCGGCAGGCACGCGGTCATGAAGGTTTTTAGACGACGACACGAAGCTGTGTGTTAGTCTGTGGCCCTGTGTAATAATAATAATAATTTACACGTGTAAAGCACGTTTCATCCGCAGATCTCAATGCACGCCGTGCACGGAAAGCAGGAAATAACGAGAAGCAGGGTAAAGGGGCAGAACTCGGGGGTAAAGATGGGTTTAAAGAGGTGAACTTTCAAGACGGACTTAAATATATCTCACGATTACTGTCGATTCTCCCATAACGTTGCGTGTTTTCATCACGCGAATTGCATGTAACGCGATGAATGTGATCGGGAACGCAACGCTATTGAGTGAACAGGACCACGTCGCGCGAGTCGGACACAGCGCTTGTACGGCCGCCTCGGCGTAGCGTCACACAAGGCGAGATGCTACCCACAAGCCTCAGTCTTTGTTCAGCCTGCGCACGCGTATCATGTGTTACCGCGGACTGTGTTTTATCCTACATTAAATATTATTCATTATAATACCATTTTTCCATGACGCGGTGTTATCCTTCAGGAACACAACTACCGCGTTATAGAAGAGACTGGAAAAGCAAAGGCAAAATTGTTCCACGGTTTAGGAGCTGCACTGGCAAAAGCCCAACCACCCCAGGAAACGAGCCTTGACCTCGGCAGTACTTCGGAGGTGATCCAAAGATTCCCCAACCGGGAACCTCGTCCCTCACGTTGCCCCTCCCACGGCGTCTCACCCCCCCCCCCCCCCGCCACCTCCGCCCCCTCCTACCCCGGCGGCAGTGACTCTCACCGCCGTGGTCCGTGGCCACGTGCCGCGCCCCGCCGCCGTGCCGTGGCCGCTTGCCGGCGCCGGGGTGAGCGGCGGCGCCGTGCCGCGGGCGGTAGTGCGGGCAGCGCGAGGCGCGGATGTCCGCGAGGAGGCAGCTGAGCGGATCGGTGAGGGCCGGGTGCGGCGAGGGCGCGCCGGGCTCGGCCGGACTCGGCAACGTCGCCCGCTCCTCCTCCCCCTCCCGCTTCTCTCGCTCCTCCGCGCCGCCGTCAGGGCTCAGCCTCCACAGGAGGCCGTCAAGCGGCGAGCGCAAGCGGTCGAGGAGCAGCCTGAATGCACGGGGGGGAGCGGGAGCGGTCGGTACAATCGGGTTTGACGTGGGAGGTTTGATTCAGGCTAGGTTGCCCATGGAGTGCTTCTGGGGTGCCTATTTGTTACGGTGAACTTCATACCTGCTGCTGAGTTTGCACGCGCGGTGGTGGAGGTGGCGTTGGCGATGGTGATGATGGTAGCGGTGGTGGTGATGGTTGTGTGTGGATATGACAGTGGCGGTTGTGCGTGTGGTTATGACGGCGGTGGTGGCGGTTGCGCGCGTGGTTATGGCGGTGGCGGCGGTGGTCACCTCCCGCCTCGCCCGACGCGCCGTCGTGCGAGCCCCATGCAGCGCGGCGGCGACGACAGCGACGTGAGGCTGTACCCACGCACGCCGCCTCTGCCGTTGTCATCGTCGCTGACCGCCTGCCCGCTCGGTTCGCAATCCCGGGGCTGTGCGGCACAAGCAGGAGAGCCGGTAAAAGGGGGAGAGAACTGGTTAACAGGAGAAACCGATGGAGAGAATCGGTGAGAGCGGATTCGCTTTAGAAGAGGACCGTTCACGGGAGAAAGGGGAAACAGGAGAACCGCTGAGGGGGAACGGGTGATAAGGGGGCAAGAAGCAACGGAGACAATCCGCTGCTGTTGCTGTACCACTACTTCGGCACAGAGACAAGTCGAGCACGGCGCGTCGTCAGCTCAGGAGGAACGCAGTGCGGTGCACAGTGCGGTGCACAGTGTGGACCGTGCGGCTTTGTGTGCACTCTAAGTGTGTGGAGTGCGGAGTTAGGCATGGCGGTGTGTGCGGAGCATGGTGTGTATTTGTGTATGCGGTTGCGGTGCATTGTTGTGCCGTGATGCACGGTGCGTATATATTTTGTAACGGTGTGGTGGTGGGGTGGGGGGCGCATCTCACCGCGTGGTAGAGGCACCCAGCGACCCGGCGGAAAGTGAACGTCCCGTCGGGACCGTTCTCCTGCTCCGAGTCGGATGACGAAGACTGAACCTGCAGAGCGAGATGAGCGGTCAGTCGCACTTTAACCAACACACTGGCACCCAGGGCCAGCCCACTAGGCTCTATCAGAGATCCACAGGACAAGCCTCCAGGGTTCCAAAACCAGCCTCGGGGGGATTCCAGGAAGTCTGCCACACCCTGTCACAACATCGCACTCACAAACACCGCTATGCTGCACGGTCACCAAGCAAAGATGACGATCCCCTTCGTAGCCGTAAACAGACTGTTGGGGGCAAGTGCTGTTAGTGAGCACCTATGAAGGCCGCCACAGCACGCTAGGATGGGTGGCCCGCACAATACACAGCCGCCTTTGTCTCCCTGGTGGCGATGTTTTACAATCGCACCAGGTATGAGGCTAAGTCGACCAGGACCGGTGAATTTAATCGTCACTGGTGTTGGCCGTGAGCAGGAATCAAACTTGGGTCGCTCCCCACACACACTCACTCACACCACACGGCACCGCCACACCACCTCACTCGCTGGTAGGCATCGCCATGACCGTGCCTCCGCCTGGCTCACCGGTACCGGGGACTCGTCGCCGGAGCTGTGGAAGTCGTATTGGTTGAGGTCCTTCAGGTTGAAGGTCGGGGCCGGCGCGGGGGTGACGGCGCTGGTAGCCGGCGGCGTTGCTGCGGCACGGCCGGCGCCCGGGCGGTGCTTCTGGTGCTCGTACTTGCGCTTGGGCCGCCCAGGCTGACCTGGCTCCTACATTCAAGAGATGATGGGACGACGGGGAATTATTTGCCAGAGGATTGGCAAATAATTCGATTGGCTTACTGGCGCACTAAGATGATTATGAATAAAGGATAGAGCTGATTGAGTAATGCACGATTATCTACTGCGGGCGTGACCGGTGGACTAACGAATGTTTACACGAATGTGGGAACCAATCCATTGGTTAACCCAGGGTACGAAAAGAGTGCTCAGCCTGGGGCGGGGGTTGGTTAGGCGAGCGAGCGCGCGCAGGAGTGCTGGCCGGCGCTCACCCGGTGCACCTTGTAGTCGACGTGGTGGTAGGGGCTGCCCCCGTTGAGCAACGTCGGCGGGGAGGCCGGGGAGTGGGCAGGCGCCGTCGCCTCCTGCTGCCGCTGGGACAGCACCTCGGCGAGCATGTCCCCGTTCAGGTCTCCGGCCTCGTACCTGGTCAGCGAGCACAACCGTGCGGTCGCACACAGGTGGTTAGGTGAGGGGGGTGGGGGATGATGGCAGCAAAGCAAAATGACTGACGAGCTACATTCAGCCTGGTAAAGACTTTGATACACTTTACATTACCTATGTAAGAGGATAATAATGCATAGCTCGTGTGGGTTGCGTTGGGGGTATATGTCACGCACAATGTCACACTCACACACAAACACTCACATACACACAGACTAACACTCGCATACACACAGTCTCTCACACACTTACACAGACTAACACTCGCACACACAGACTAACACTCGCACACACAGTCTCTCACACACACAGACTAACACTCACATACACAGACTAACACTCACACACACAAACACTCACACACACACAGACTAACACTCACACAGTCTCTCACACATGGTCACACAGACTAACACTCACACACACAGACTAACACTCACACACACAGACTAACACTCACGCACACAGAGACTAACACTCACACACAGACTAACACTCACACACACAGGCTAACACTCACACACACAGGCTAACACTCACACACACACACAGTCTCTCACACACGGTCACACAGACAAACACAAAAGACAAAGATCCCCCCTGTAGCCTTAACAGACTCTTGGGGCAGGTGCTGTTAGCACATAAGTGTCACGCACACACACGGAGTCTCCCACACGCAGTTTGTCGCTCGCTCGCACGCACGCACACGCACGCACACGCGCGGGCGCGTGCTGGTGCCGGCTGGTGTCGGCGGCGGGCACCTCTTGACGGCGACCTGCAGCGTGAGGTGCAGGAGCTGGCGCTTGTTGGCCTCGCGCCGCTTCACCATCTCCAGGATGGTGACGGCGCGGCTCAGCTCGCGGCGCAGACGCAGCATGCGCTCGTACGACGCCTCCTCGTTCTTGCGGTTCTGGCGACGGGCACGGCCACAGCAGGGTTGGGGGGGGGGTTGTTTTTTTATAGTAATAATAATGATAACAGTTCAAAAAAGTTGTGTTGCTATGAGGGCCGGAGACCGGCCAAATCGCCCAGCACTTGCAAGACAAAAACTAGCGCTAAAATCAAAGCTACTTCACACTCCGCCTCCGATGACGCCACTGCACGATGCCATCTCGCCACCTCGCGGCACCACGCGCCGTGTGTGACGATCATCTTGTTGTGCGGCTTGCCACGTAATGTCACGAACGCTTATTGAAATACTTCCTAGGGCAATGGTGCATTAGATTTGCATTACAGAATGCATGCATGTGCACGATTCTTCATTTTGTCTATTTCTCCAATGATATTTTCGCCTCCGATATGCCGATCGTGGCGCATGACAAAGAATCCGTTCAGATATCTCACCAAGCAATGCAAACTACCGAGTTAGAGAGCGGCCCACGGAAGCGGATATCACAGAACTACCTCTTGAGATATCTTCAACTGCCCTCTGGTTCACACACAGGAGGAGCAGGGGACACCGTGACACTCAATATGCCGCGGAAAACAGTAACGTTCTTAGTGCGACGAGTCAAATCGACATAGAGGGCCGGTCTCCGGTTTACAACGGTCCAATTTAGTACGATCCACATTCACGACGTTTATAAATAACCCCACCATGGCTCTATTTATAACGCAGAAACTTGATTTACGACGCGTCTTCTGGCATGGCTCCGAATGTGTTTGAACAGAACCCGGTCTTTGGTTTCCGACGTGACTTGGCGTGGAGCTTTTGTTATCTTCCAGTGTTAGTGTGGGTTTTTTTTTACCTATTAAACCCCGTCAAATAAAGCCGGTGAAAAGGAAATACACATCGGCAAGTATGTTTCTACCATTTCTACTGTCTATGGGAAAATAAGGTCCCATTTTCGACGATCCAATTTACTACGTGGGAGTGTCGCGTGGATTTTTCTCCCTGTGGTCACGTGGATTTTTCTCCGGTTTTTCCCCTCCACATTTAGAATCGACGTGATAAGCCACTTCACTGGGCTGTTATTTGTGATAGCCAGGTCACTTCCGATAAAGAGCTATACAACTCAGTGGGCCTTACCTGGTAAAATAAAAAATAGTCGTAAAAGCGGGAGCACCTGTATATATATATTTATTTTATTGATGTTTGTTTAATTTTCATACCTTGCGCGTCTGCATCTTCTCGGTGCGCCGGCGGAAGGCCACGTAGGGGTTGTGGTTGTGGTTGTTGCTGTTGCTGCCGGCCGGCGTGGCGGGAGCGTCGCGCCGGTCCTGCCGCACCGAGGGCATGAGCGAGCAGCCCCGGCAGCGCCGCCGCTTGTTGCGCCAGTACTCCCACACCTGAGCGCCGCGGACGACGAAAAAAGGAGGGCGGAGGACGAAGAGGAGGACGAGGAGGGCCGACAAGGTCAGAGCGTGCGCGTAGGAACGACGGTACCGACGCAAATTTCAAAAGCGACGGCAGGGATGTGGTTGTGGGCGTCACTGCTCACATCGTTGCCAACGTGGGCAACAACACGCGAGCTTATCAACGATTAGCACGGCTGGATCGCACCTACGATAAGCACGGCTGGCTACGTACGGTGGAAAAGGAGATCAAGATAAGCACGTTCATCAACGGCGATAACGACGATGTGAGAACAATTACGCACATCGTCGAGGATGTGGACACGTCACGCAATATCGTCAACATCATCATCATCATGGATGTGGGAGTCACGCCACCCATCATCAAACGTCGATGAACGCCGTCATAAAAATAACAAACAATGTGGGCACCATATTGACGTACGGTTAAACATCAGAATTAAACAATAGGCTTGTTATTACAATTGTTAACACTCATCATTATTAAGTACCAAAATTATGCGTTGGTGATGTGATTAGAATTGGTGTATTAGTACCTCCTCTATCAGCTCATTCTCCTCCTGCAGCAGTAGTCGAGCCTCTGCAAGCGTGACGGACTGCACACACAAACACAAGGAGACACGCACGCACACAAAAGAATATTTACATCCCCCGTATTGCCTACATCAACTGTTGGGGCAAATACTTTATAGGTAAGCACATATTAAGGCGTCCACGGCTCATGAAGGGGTGGTGTGCAGGCAGCACCACACCTGGATACCTTTGTCTGATGATTACACATTGCACCTTGTACTCATTTAACGCCGAGTGGAGCTAGGCGAAATCCCAGTAATAATCCAGATATCAAAAGTCACTGATATTAGTCGTTGCCGTGAACTAAACTTGGGCCTCCGCGTTCAAAGCGCAACACACTAACCAACAACGCTATTGCTCCACAGAACAAGACACGGACACAAAGGCAAGCCAACGCACTGATAGCTGTAATGGACATGTATAATATACACTAGGGCATGGGTACCCTGATGGCTGTATATTTGAGTTTTCATGTTCTCCCCGTGGCCACGTGGATTTTTCTCCGGGTCCTCAAGTTTTTTCTACATTTAGAATAATGCGTTTAGCATATTTGACTGCTATAAATTTCCCCGCGATAAGCCGCTCCATCGAGCTATCATTTGTGGTAGCCAAGTCGCTTCTGAAAAAGAGCTGTACAGCGCTGTCCTCCAGACAGTCTCGTCCCTTCACCTGATGAAGGCCGCTTGTGTTGTGGCCCGAAACGTCGTGATTTTTGTTATTTTTTACCTACGTGACTTTACCCAATAGAACCAAAGAGTATGGATCCGTGCAGTCACGAAAGCTTTAAATCTAGAATAGCTGTACAGCTCAGTGGGCTGTACCTGCTTACTCCGACCACTTACTTTAGGAACAAAGTAAGTGGTCGGAGTAAGCCCACAAAACAACCCAAACATAGCTAGGACATACAGTATATAATAATTATTATTATTACTAAGAGATAAACACGCCTCACAAGGCCTCATACAATTTGTTGTAAAATCAGAAATTACGACAAGGAGCCTCAATTCCCCTGAAGCAAAAAAAACCCAAGCCGGGCTTCGCAGAGGCAAGCAAAGCAGTGGGAAAAAAAGTGAAGATATTGGAACTGAACCTTAACAATACTGTGGTTCCCTTAGGCTATTGAGCTTCACGCATTATACTTTTTCATTACCATTAAAGTCAATGTTAACGGTGAAGAGGCAGGGCTGTAGTGCAATGGTTTGCAAGCTGTGCTACGACCCATCGACCCGAGTTTGATTTTTGGCCACGGCTAACATCAGCAGTGGATTTCAGAATCGGCCCTTGGGCGCACCTCAACCAACTGGCCAGCGTGGTGAAGCATGGCCAAACAACCAACCACGGCCGATACAGCATGAAGAAGCCCGGCAGCGGATGCACAAAAGGACCTTACATATTGATGCATGTACATCATCTATATATATAAAAAGGGAAATTTGTGAATGTATGTCTGTTCGAAATGTTTAGCATACTTCCCAACATGCACCAAACTTGAAATTTGGCATGTGGGTAGCTGCCAGACTGTACATAATGCAAAAAGTATAAAAACAGACTTTTGTGTTTTGGTGGGGGTGGGGGGTGCAATAATGGATATATTTTGCACAGCAAGTGAGCGGTGACGTCACATCTGTGATGTCACCCGCATGCGTTAGCGTCACGCAGAGTGCCTGCTGACGTCACGCATCCCCCCCCTCCCCACCCTCCGCGTAGGTCGTGTATTAATCCAAGACAAGAATCCAAGTCTCGGGCGAAGCCGGGTAGTAAAGCTAGTTTATTTATAAACTATAGCTATACGCTATATTGACATGATGCACTTTCCCAGGTGCGAGGTCGAGAACTATTATTTCAGCTCTGGGAGGAAACCGGAGAACCCGGAGGAAACTCATGCACACAGAATGGTGCCCCAGTCGGGAATCGCACCCAGGAACTTCTAGCTGTAAGGCACGAGTGTTACCCCTACGTCACAGCCTGCCTCACTGATGTAACCTATGTAAACAGCGATATCCTTATACATCTGGCAGTTCACCGGCATTGATTCAAGCAGTACTAAATCGGCTGATAAGACACGATGTCGAAACTGGTCCAGAGATTGGTTGTATTGAATCAATGCTGCTGAATTTATGAATTCCCGGATTGTGCGGCCGATGGGTTGTGTAAACAATGCTTTTATACGGGTTTTTCCCGCTTTTCTGCGGGTTCGGTTTGTGCATTTTCGTGTATATGCGGCTAACCTATTACTTCCCAAAATTCGCGATATTATGCAGTTGGAATGCACTCGTATGCGGCTATGTGGTTGGACGTGGGACACTGCGTGTGAACTGTACATGCTACTCAGCAGGCAGCTGTCTCGCACACAGAAAGACACATACACAGAGATACATAGAAATAGAGATACACATAAAGACACAGAGATACATACACATATAGATACACAGAAAGATACACACAGAGATACATACAGATACATTCACAGAGACACAAAAGAAAGATTCCCCATATAGCCTTAACAGACTTTTGAGGCAAGTGCTGTTAGTGACTACCTATGAAGGCCGGCACGGCATGCAAGGCGGTGGGTGGCCAGCACCACACGGCCGCCTTAGTCTCCCGAGTGGCGATGTTTATTCACCGCACCAGGTACTCATTTGAGGCCGAGTCGACCTAGGGGAGGCCCAGGACCGATCCAGAAAATCGTGAGAGGGAATCGAACTCGGGTCGCCGGGTCTGTAGGGCAGCGCGCTAACCGCTACGCTACCACTCCCCACAACACTGTGCAGTGTACTTCACGCACTACTCGGCAGGCAGCTGACTCCTCGTGTGGTTTCGCTTTTGCGCCCTCTTCTTGGAACGCACCTCCTACTACCACCTCATAGAGCAAGGGAAACCTGTATTGTCTACGTGCAGAGACAAACACGAAGTAGCCGTATTGTCTACTTATCTAATTTGTTAACGTATACTCTCCCACGATGGTGATCATTTTTCTAAAACCAAGTACCCAGAGACTAATACTGTGCAGAGACTAACTAAACTAAACTAAACATTTTTTTTTTATTTTACCAGATAAGGACCACTGGGCTATACAGCTCTTTTTCAGAAGCTACCTGGCCACAAACGATAGCCCTACAAAGTGACTCATCACGTGGACATTCCTAGCAGCCAAATACTCTGAACGCACGTCGATCCTAAATGGAGGGAGAAGCCGGTGGACGCGGAAACAAATCCACGCGACCACGGGGAGAGAGAAAACGCAAACTCCAAATATACAGGCATCGTCAAGGTGGGGAACGAACCCACGACCTCCTATATACCAGACGAGGCAGTGAACATCTCTCCACCATGGCGCCAAATATAACCATGCCGAAGCTTGATGAATCGAACTTAGATAATTGATTATTTACACTTGGTGACTTTTTTCTGGCAACAAAACAGCTGTGTTAAGATGTTTAAACACCAAACTGAAACCTTTTACAAGGAATCATGTCTGCATTAACCACAATGCTTGTGGTCAGAATGCAAACAAAAAACAACACTCTGATAATATATTGGCATTGTCCTCGAAACTGATTGGTCCACACCAGAGACAGCTTTCTTTTGAGCCTAGTCTCAAAACGGTGTTAGACCAGAGGACGCCAAAAGGCGTACACAGCCTTTGGTGACTTGATCACCATTTTCTCTATTTTAAACTCCTGATCGTTGCTGTTTTTTTTTAACGATGTTTGCTGTCGTAACTCCTGGGCGCGTGTGAAAAAGAGCTTCATAGCACATCGGATTCTCTCATTCCTCAAGTCCCGAACAAAGATTCCCGGTTCTGAACAATGATGATTTCGTGTCACCAAAAAAAATACAACACACCTGGCGTGTGTGCTCAACGGACGGAAAGCAGCCGCGGTGGGGGCAGGGGGGGGGGGGACGGTGGGGGCAGTGGGAGGGGGTCCCTTCACCTGCATGCCGCTGCCCTTCTCTAGCCGCTCCACCATGGCCTCCAGCTGTATCGGAGTGATGGGGTAGCGGCGGCCGGACCGTGCCAGGAACACCTCGTCCTCCGAGTCCAAGTCATACTCGGGCAGGTCCGGCTCCAGGCTCAGCGCTGTTGATGGGAGATAGAAAAAACTATTAAGACTATCAAACAATTTAACACGTAGGCTTTCGCGACCAATATTGTTCATAATAAAGGTTTTTGGGTTAGATCGCGTTTATTTATAAATGTGTCGTAACCCTCCACCACCCGACACGGCCAATCAGCAAAAAAAAAGTGTCACGTTGACAAAAAGACAAATAATTCACTACTTTAGCCCACCGGTGTGTTGAAGAGTGAATCCACAACATTTACAGTTGGAGTACGACGTTTCGCTGGTAAATACATCCAGCATCATCGGGCAATTCGCCAGAATGGTAAAGCCCTCGCTTGCTCCCGGTTTTATATAGAGCAGCAGGGTGACGTCATCATTTTAACTCATATAATATCATAAACCGTGAGCAAGCGAGGGCTTTACCATTCTGGCGAATTGCCCGATGATGCTGGATGTATTTACCAGCGAAACGTCGTACTCAAACTGTAAATGCTGTGGCTTCACTCTTCAACACACCGGCGGGCTAAAGTAGTGAATTATTTGTCTTTTGTCAACGTGACACTTTTTTTGCTGATTGGCCGTGTTGGGTGGTGGAGGGTTACGACACATTTATAAATAACGCGATCTAACCCAAAAACCTTTATTATGAATATCAAAAAAAAATTTCTTCTACCCAGGTAAGGCCCACTTGAGCTGCGTGTATCTTTTTTTCAGAAGTGACCCGGCAAAATGACCTTGGCTAGATGATGGCTCGACTATTTGGCTTATCGTCACGTGGAAATTTTTAGCAGCCAAAGACTCTTAAATGCACGTCGATTCTAAAAGTGCAGAGATAAAACTGGATGACCCGGAGAAAAATCCACGCGACCACGGGGAGTAAGGGTCAGGATCGAACCCACGAGATCCTGCATACCAGGCGAGGTAATTAACATCTCGCCACTGTGGTAAGATGTTAACTACCTCACGCACACACGGGATTTTGCGACGCTTTCAAATTTGTTTGTATGTGCTCGTTAGTATTTATTATTATTTATTATCAGGCAAGGGATCTTGTGGAAGGTGAGTTCTTGTGAGTCTGGTGGAATGTGACTCTGGTGAAAGGTCGATTCTGGTGGAATGTGGTTATGATAGACGCTTGTTGTGGTGGAAAATGTTTGTGGGGGCTTTTTGTGATGACTTCAAGTGGTTCTGGTGTCATGTGACAGGTCGCTGTAGAGAGAGGGTGGTGGAGTGGGGCAGGTGGCGGCTGCGGTAGCAGAAGCAGCAGCGTTACGCACGTGGTAGGCGGATCAGCTGCTTGGGCAGACGGTAGGTGCTGGGGTAGAGATCGTGGAAGTACGGCACGTTGCTCTGCGCCTCGGGCACGGGTATCACCATGCTCTCGCGCTTCTCGCCGTACGCCTGCTGCGCCGACATCGCCCGCTGCAGGTGGTGCTCCTGCACAGATGGACGGGCACGGCGAGGGAACAAACACGGTCAGCAGTCATTCATTTGAAGCAGAAACCTCCGACTGCAACGGAGTGGGCAGCCAACGCAGCGGCAGGGCTTTCGGTTATGGAACACGAACGGCAACGTTACCGTCATTATCGCTGTCATCGTCACCAATCGTCACAATCATTGTCACCATGACCACCCCACCCCCCTCCAGGGCTGGGGAAAGAGCATCAGCTGGTGAGTCTGCGTCACAAAATGTAGATTAATTCAACAATGGTTCAAGTTCAGTCAGGATCTACTGCTTCCCACCATGGGAATATGGACAACAGCTTTACACCATGAGCACCAGCGAACAATGGCAGCGCCAACAGGTACATGAGTAAAAGAGCACGGCTCACAAACATTACAGTTAAACATAACCATACATTACTTCATACAAACAACAACAGCCGCCATTCGCTACGAAGTGGCGGTGACGTCAACACGGCTCTCGTCTTAGGCCAGGTGCACTCCCGAGGTCACGTGAAGTGTCAAAGGCTCGCCGATAGGTCAAGGGACAGACCCATGTACCAAGACGATCAATGGAACAAGCAAATGGACAAAAATGAGACCTACCCTACTTCTCTACGCTGAGGTACTTAATAACACAGCCAATAAACCAAGGAACAAAGCAACATAAACAGACCCACCCCTTCACTCCCCCGTATACAGGGTTACTGCATGCCAACACGGCAAATTAAAAAGCCAACGGGAAAACAGACCTACACCACCACTCAACTCTATGGAGGTCCTCCGCACCTCCGATTAGCATGTACAGTGTCAAAGAAGTTCAACATACATGCATCTTTCACAACGTAGCCAATGAGTCAAGTAAACAGAAAACAGACTCACGCCATCAACTTAGCACTATAGCGTACATAGTAACTTCAAGACAAGAGCCCACGGACCAAGCAAAACAGATAAATTTACAGATCCATGCTAATGCTCTGAATAAAACAGATCAGCTTAAAAGGCGAAAGCCGGCGGAACAAGTGAACACAAACAAAGAGAAACCCCACGCCACCACTCTACGATCGATACGGCGACTTCAAAGTGCAGCCCAATTACAGCCGTGCATAATCGTCACGAGTACTGCTTGCACCGAGTCGATAGTTTGAAGCCAATACGGTTCTGCGTGCAAATGTGGATTAGGAAAGTGCCTCTTCTGCTGTCGATGCGACATTGAGGGGCGCTGCGATTTTGAGAGGGGGCAGACAGTGGCGGCATGGCCAAGCGCCGCTTTGTTTCAGAGGTGTCACCGTTCGAATCCAGCGGCCACCCTGATTATTACTGCGGTGGTGTGTAATAACCAGAGTAATACCACGCGCAGTCTGCTTCAGAGTGAACATTAAAGTTCCTATTTAAAGTTTATTTGGTTCTTTCGGTAAAGTCACGTAGAATGAGAATAAATTAATAAATTAATACAATAACACAATAAAATTCTCACGACGTTTCGGCCACAACACAAGCGGCCTTCATCAGGTGAAGGGACGAGACTGTCTGGAGGACAGCACTCGAGCAAACACAGCCAAGCTCAGACCGCGACCTTTAAGCTGTGCGAGAAGAAACAGAGCACCTTGACAAAGGAATTAGCATAAAAATTAGCATTAAATTGGTGGACTTAGCATGATGAAAATATACTGTACCATTGAAAATTAGTTTAATGTTTGGTTCGGATAATTTAGCATTGAAATAGCTGCGTGATTAGCTTGTGACTTGGTTCTTTCGGTAAAGTCACGTAGAAGGGAAATCATAAAAGAATAAAAATTTAACAATAAAATTCTCACGACGTTTCGATTGCAACACAAGCAATCATCACACCTGATGATGATTTGTATTATTTCCCTTCTACGTGACTTTACCGAAAGAACCAAAAATATAATTAAAGTTCCTCTGACGTAATTCGCAAGAGTGCGCTATTGTGTCCAGCGTCAGGATCCAAATAATTTCCAAATAAAAAAAAGACCAATAAAATTATATTTGGGGATATCTTTGTACCCTACTGGAAGACGAATGCCCCAGGTAACTATTCCAAATGAGACAATCCTGATCTCTTCAGTGTTCACCTGGTTAAACAAAATAAACATGACCCCTGGGTGCAACTGGTAACACATAATCTACCCCGTGAATTCCACATGGGTATTTTCTTTGAAAAACTGATAACAACGCTCATTGGGCTCCCAGCTGGTTCAAGAAAGGGAATTCACATCTGGCTGAATGTTCATGGGTGCAGTAATTCTTTAATCAGACTGATATTACCACTCACAAGAAGGACGGACAGTAACAGGAGTCCGCAGTTGAGTGCTAACTGAAACCATGCGAAGTACGTTAAACCTGGGCATTTCCTGGTAAGTACTCTCACTAAAAGAGACAGTAAAAAAAACCTGTTATTCATATTCGTTATTTGCTGCGTACATTCTCTAAAGGAACAACTTTCAAACAACGAAGACAAAGATGCCCCGTATAGCCTGTAACGGACTGTTGGGGCCAGTGCTATTCGCGAGCACCTATGAGGGCCAGAGCGGCACACAAAGGGGGTGGGGTGGCCAGCACCACACCCGGCCGCCTTAGTCTCCCGAGTGGTGATATTTATTCACCGCACCAGGTACTCATTTGAGGCTGAGTCGACCTAGAGGAGGAGGCCCAGGACCAGTTCAGATAATCGTCACTGGTGTGTTGGCCATCAGCGGGAATTGAACTCTGGACGCCGGGTTCGTAGTGCAGCGCGCTAACCGCTACACTACCGCTCCCCACCAACCAACACACACGCACATACACATGGGGGGACAGGGGTGTGAATGTTGTTTTTACAAAGCACCACGCCGAGGAGCTGCTAGAGGGAAAGGAGGTGGAATGAAGAAGTTAAAGCTTTAGAAGGGCTTGCCAATATTCTCAAGAAGGCAAGGGAGGCGAGACTTGCATCGTTTGGGGTATCTGTTGAGAGACAGATGATGTAATTAGGACGACTGAGATACTGCCAATGCAGGGCAGGCGAGGGATTATTTTTGGAAGGATGTGGTGGACCAAGATATTAGGACAGTGGATGTATCTTGAACCTCTTTTGCAATGTATGTATCCAACCGCGCTAATTATCGGAGGTGCAACTAGAGTAGAGGCACAGAACAGACATATATGAAGCAAATACGAGCGGAGTACCCTATGCAATCACGGATCCCTATGTAAGCCTATGTAAGTGTGGGCTTCTTATGTATGTCTTTATGGGTCTCTATGCAAGTATATAGGTCTCTATGAAAGACCAATGATCATGAGAGTGAACGCGAGTTTATAGGTCGTCATACAAGTCTATGGATCCCTATGCAAAGCTACTGGACGTGATGAGAGAAGAGTCACAGAATAGAACGGAAAGAGCGAATGCGAGCGGCTGACCCCACGCAACAATGGGACGTTTTGGCACAGAAGAAGATGGCAATGTGCTGCAGCCGACACATTAAGACTCGGAAAGAGAGGCGAGCCAATTAGGTGAGCTCAGCTGGTGAGCGGTGAGCGGGCAAGAACGTGGCCTCGGTACAAAATGTAATTCCGCGGGGGCCGCGAGGGGTCATGGGTCAGCCAAGCCTGCGGATGCTTGCTTTCCACAACGCCCAGAGGCGTTAGCATCTCATTGCACGGAGCTCGTATTGGGTACAGTCCCCAGTGTGCGTCTGTACTCGTGTAGCGCGCACACATTAAACTCTGATAGAATAACATGTGTAAGCGTACGCGGGCAGAGAATTTTAGTTTTTTTTTATTTAATCAGGCGAGGGCACTTTGAGGAAATAATAGCTGGGAAAATGTAGCACAAGCACGTGGACAAAACCAAAAGGTTAAAACATCTAAACATTGAAAAGGACATTGCAAAAGCCATACTCTTATGTCTGTGACATTAGCCATTCCAGTAGCATTTATTTAGCAGGCATGACTGCTGAATAGACTGGAAAAAGTCAATACCTGTTTGTGTGCTTAAACAAATCCTGGGGAAAATGTTTTAACTATGGGTTAAATGTGTTTTTCATCAAAGGCAGACATACCTTTGTCTACGTAACAGCAGTGGCTTTCTCCCACCGTAACATCTAAAAACATTTTTAAACGTTTGCCAATGTGAAACACAACTGCACTCCAAAGGGAGAGGAACACGTCCGAATGACTGACGTGTAACCTATTCCATTAAAGCACCACTGCATTTATTGCGAATATGGGTCTGTTGACATTTATAGTATGGCTTGTGAACCACTGAACATGTTTACACTGCTACACATAATAGGTTGTCATGGTTGCCTTGCTCAAGGAGTCGATGATGAGAATGCTCATGTCAGGAGAGAGCATCTGCAAGCGATGCACGTGTACGCGTGTCTATAAATCAAATTGCCAAAGAAACACTGCCACTCCATTGTACCAGTTGTAGACAATGTATGTATGTATGACTAGTTAAGAGCTCATTTGGACGAGAAGTATATTGTTCAAGAGAGACAGACCATGGTATTCTGGCCATCACTTAAATCTCATTAATTAAGCGGCAGGCAGTTGGGAGCAAAACTGGAGGACGTTTTTGATTTGCACAGCAAGAGCCAGCAAAAAAGTCGGCCCTGTATATAGAGCTCATTGGGAATACTTCCAGTTCCTAACAACCTCTCTCAGACATACAATGCATCTCAGACAAGCTTTAAAAGGCTGTTGCAGCAAGTTCTGTTAGCTAGCACCTATGAAGGCCGGCATGGCACACGAGGGGGTGGATGGTCAAACACACCATGCCCGACCGCCTTTACCTCCCCAGTGGCGATGTTTTTACACAATGCACCAGGTACTTATTTAAGGCTGAGTCGACCGAGGGGAGGCCCACGACCGGTTGAGATAATCGTCACTGGTGTTGGCCGTGAGCTGGACTCGAACTCAGGTCGCCGGGTTTGTAGCGCGGCGCGAGAGCTGCTGCACGGCCGCTCCATATACAGTTCCTAACAACCTCTCAC